AAAATCTGAACTTGTATTCATGTTAAATGGATACTTTGTTCTCAAAACCAAGGCAAATGGACAGGCTTTAAGATGATACCAATAACTCTATATGACCCAAAATTGACGAGCGCCTGATTCCACCGCGTCGTGACACTTAATTCTCTACACCAGTCTAAATGGAACTTTTTCAAATGAGAAAGTTTTTATTATGGCACGATTACAACATGGTTGCCGATAGTGCGGCCAATAATTTGTGTCAAATATCTCCTCAACGATCGAACATAGTATTTTCACCGTTTGCACAATGACTTGCATTAGTTTGTCTCAACAGAACAATAATTTTTGTAAACACCTGTTTGCTGTATTCTAGGAAATTCTTTATTAAATAATTCCAGTCGGTGATTTCTACCGATTTTTAAATGTTTACACCCCATGAGTTTAGCTTTAGTAAGAGTTTTACGGCACTTACAACACAAAAAGGTACATGTAAAATAAGTGCTGAAGATTAGAGGTGTTTTAAGAGAGTAACAAACACAAAAAGAAGGCGTGCAAATCAAGACGATATAATAATGTTCAATAAGAAAGAAGAAACAAACCACACCAGTGCACCCGCCAACCACCCACACCCCATGAGCTGTGACAATAACGCTTTAAGAAACAAGGTCGTACTTTCCTCTAATCGCGACAGTTTGTTTGTTTAACGCATATTTTTGAGAACCTTTAGTGCAACTAAATGAAATGTTCACTATAAAATTAATCAGTGTGACAAATAATGGCCCCGAACGAAATTGAGGTTGTTCTGCGTTTTTGCTACCATTGATGATTTCTTTTTTTCTTTATAACCAATGCGCACCGGCATAGATCTAAGTGCATTGCTACAGAACAGAAGTTCTGAAATTATTTCTGCTTGTAGCTCAAAACCTTTCTTTTTATACTGAAAATGCTAATGTAAGTTATACATGATTATATTATGTCAAATCAAACGTGTTGCGATTTAGCAGAGAATAGTGTTCGCCTCTCATTCAGTATGTCCCGGGTTCGAATCCTGATAACGACGGAAAATTGTCTCCTTTCACCCTCCTTTCCTGCTCTCAGTGAGGCAGCGTGGTGGAATCAGGCTCTCGTCAATTTTTGGGCTTGTAGAGTTATTGGTATCATCTTAAAGCTTGTTTAATTGTCTTTATTTTGATTTTTAAAATATCCATTTATCTTGAATACAAGTCGAGATATAATTTGTGAAAGAAGGAGGTGGAGGTCACCTGTTTTCAGAGGTAAAATTAGTGAGAAAATGGCCGCCAAAGATTAGTCATTTCCTTAGCTTAAGAGTCCGTGGTAACTGAAAATTAATATTTTTTGTGCCTTTAATTAACGTTTTTCAGAAGAAAAAAAATCCACAGAAATGAGTTTTTTAATAGGCATGAAAGGTGTTGAGCCAAAAATACAAATTTGATAAAAAAAATTCATTAACCTGCGGAAAAATACAAGTTTCTTCACTTTGATTATTTTTTCGAGAGCCTGATTCCACCACGCTGCCTCACCATGATCTGTCCTCTGCTTTCGTCTCCACTTTTTGCCCCCACCCTCTCACCTCCATTGCCCCCTCCTCTGGACTCCAGACTCTTTCTGCACACTTTCCACTGCTACTCCTTGGCTCATCCTAACTGCTGTGTTTCAGCCACACCCCTGGCCTTATGGTAGGTAAGATTGAATACATAGCCTTCTCGGGGAAGGGCGAAAAATCTTGCGCCCGTTAAAGATCCCTTGATGGTTCAAAATAGATAAAAGTAGGCACCGGGGCAAAATTCAAAATTTCCTACCAAACTGAAAATGTTTAAAGCGTCCCGCGCGCTCATGATATGGCCTTATGCAGTTGCGAGCACCGTAAAACGCTTAACAAAAAATACATTAAAAAAGGACTCCAAACACTGTGCACATCTCCAAGTATGTTACACTTTGCGACACCGCGGCTGTGACTGGCTCGTTTGTAATGGATGAAACCAAGGAACGCCCTGAGGAAACTCGTTGTTTTTTTTTAAACGAGAAAATTTCTGCCTTGCAGACGAACGTTTTTATCTTTCAAGTTGTGACATTAGTGAATGCTCAGCAGTTTCGCTATCTTCCCATTCACATGGACAAATTATACTAGTGCAGAGTCAAAATACAGGACCAGTGAAGTCCTTGGTGTCTTTTGCACCGTGTTCTTGTATTTTGTTACTTGCTGCATCGGCATCTGTAGTGTGATGGTTTGGCGCTTCGCCGTCGCACGCAGGAGACTCAAGTTTGATTCCCGAGTGGGGGTCATTTTTATAGAGTATCTAGATCAAGGTCTTTCTGCTGGGGTGTTTGGTTTACTCATCTGAGCACGTGTTAACCCTGGAGGGCATGGTCGAAGCCCGCATTCTTAATTATCTAAACCTTTATATGAGGGTGTTCACATGCCTAAATTTTAAAATTTTGCACGACTCCAAAAAGACGTATTTGTGTGCGGTTTTAATTGCTTCGCTTTTTAAATTCTGCATTGGTTCTTCGTTTGTACGCGTCCCAGTTTTTGAATTTCTCTCTCTCTCTCTCTCTCTCTCTCTCTC